ATTCTCAGTGCCCCCTACAAAAACATAGGGGACTCAGGGCTTGTGGTATCCTGACAATTAAATAAACTTTTTTTTTTTAATTTAGCCTCTCAAACTGAAAGGATGATGCCCACTAGTTTATAAACATTGTGAGGACCTTCAAATGTGCTTTTCATATGTCATGTATATTATTTCATGATGACACTGTCCCTTTATTTAATTAGCGTACCACTACTAGGTAGAATTCCACAGAGTTCAGAATAATTCATTCTGCTCCAATTATAAGATAAGCAAAATAATCAGGCATTTTTAAAATGGAGAGATGTCGGTGAATAATTTAGGAAGTGAGAAGAACAATAAGTTTCCTAGTGTTTTTGACTGAGCAATCAAATAAAAAATGTGACATTTAATTTGGTGGAAAATACTGAGGGCGCTGTTGAGTTCAAAGGAAAATCAAGTGTTGAATCTTAGATGTGTACCCATTGGAAGAGATGTTGCGTAGGTAAGGATGCATAAGCCTGGAGTTTATGGGAGAAGCCAGAGTGGGAAATGTAAACTGAGAATCCATCTGTCTATACGCAGCTTTGAAAGCCTGGGTCTGGAAAAAATCATTCAGCAAATGATGGGGAGGGAGTATACAAAAGAGGCATTGGGGACTGAACCCTGAAACCCTGCAATATTGGAGAATTGAGAAGATGCCGAGAACCTTGGTGAGCTAGGTTGCCGGGAGGAGATTGAACAAAGGGAACAGTAAAGAACTAGCCGCAGGACGGGGTGATGCAGCAGTACTGAAGGAAGTGTTCAAGAAGGAGAAGGTTCTAGAAACTCTGCCAAAGCAGCTATGAGTTCAAGCAAAGAGTGAATGGAGAGTGGACTGTGGGAGACAGCAATGTGGGGAGGAGCAGCCCCTTCACAAGGACCCTCACGGGTCGGATGGTGAGGGTGAAACTCCACTGATGGGGTTCAAGAAGAACAAGAGAGACGCTGGAGAGAGGTGATACTGGAAGTTTCATGGAAGTCTGGCAGAGAAAGGGGTAGTGAGCAGAGGAGCATGTCTGTCAAAAGATGGCTTTGTTTTAGTTTTTTTTTTTTTTCAAAGTATAAGTCCTGTTTAAATACAGTGGTACAGTAAAAGAAGTGGTTTAGGAGAAGATGGATGTCCTACAGGTCACCACTGTGCAGGGTGGTGAGTGCTCAAAGACCAACAGCCAGGGGCCAGGGACACCTGCTCCAACCCTCTGTGATTCTTACTCCACATATGCCATTCTCAAACAATGCTATTGGGCAACTGGTTTTGAAATCTTCGTGATCAAGTCTGTAACGTGAGAAAAGCCTTATGTAAGATAGGTTAGCAATGGTAGGGACTTTCTAAAATAAATGAACATAGTTTCTTCAAGTTTTTCTGGGAATGGACTGCTAAGTCTGCAAGGAGGTAGAAAGCAGTTTCTCCTCATCCTTGATTGTTTGATTTCCAAAACAATAATTCATCCCCTCGCCAAAGAGCACACCAAATGAATGCTCATTTTAACCACACAACAGGTTTTTTTTCCCCTTTCTTTCTTTCTCCATCACATTAATGTGAGCAGAGGAATGTAGAGTAGGAGGAAAGCAGAGACAGAACGAGAGGAAAAACAAATCTCACCTCCCTATTATTCTCCCTGCACTGCTGCCCAGTGAGTCTCACAGTTTATCCTGCCTGTAAGGTATGATGTCGACTGTGCCAAAGCCAAATGAACAGGAGAAAATTTAACTTACCTTTCTAAGCCTTATCAAATTGCTCTCCAGTTGACTTAACTAAAAATGTTCCACGGTGATCAAATAAGGTGCTTTGTCAAAGGTTACCTATGTTTTGTGTTTGTGTGTGTTTGTATTTCTCTCTCTTCCTCCCAACCAGAGATCCTGGTTCCTAGACTATAACAGTCAGCTTAGCTAAAAGTGGCATCCACAAATGCCGTGTCTTCTGCCTCCATTGCACTGAAGGAGGAAGGAAAGGAAGAGGGGAGAGAAGGCAACATACCGTGACAACTGTAAATTATTCAAGGAGATGGGGCAGATATTAAAAGGAACTCTACACAAGCTCACATTTGTATGCTTATTAATGATAAACTTAACTATGTCATACTTCAAGAAACCTGAGTTGATCTGGGTGGTATCCACACTTCCTTCTTGGAGTTGATGAGCTGTGACTTATTCAATTAGCACATTGACTTCCAGATTATCTGTCTAGTGGAAGGAAGCAATGTGAGGACTGGGACTGGACATGGGCCCTGTCTTTCTTTATATATATATATATATATATATATATATATATATATATATATATATTGGGGGGTACCATGGATTGAACTCAGGGACAATTAACCCCAGGCATTTTGTATTTTATTAGAGACAGAGTCTCACTGAGTTGCTTAGCACCTCGCTTTTGCTGAAGCTGGCTTTGAACTCTTGATCCTCCTGACTCAGCCTCCCCAGCTGCTGGGATGAAAGGTGTGCGCCACTGTACCCAATGGTATTTTTCCACATTTCTTATTGGTGCATTACAGTTGTACATATGGTGGGATTTGTTGCTCCATATTTATATGTGCACACCTTATCTTTTTTTTATTTATTCTCTGTATTTCCAAACACTGGACACTCACTTGTTCTTTACTAACTGAACACTGACAGGGAGACAAACATGGGAAGCGGCAGTTAGTGTAGAAGATATCGTACAAGTTTCAAAGTTGCCTGCATTCTCCTGACTTTTCCTTGAATTATTATCACGCAAGTGGCCTTTTGGAATATGCAACTCAGCGATCTCAGCCATCTCTGAAAGCCACAGATTTAGACCCATTTTAATTTACGTAAATTAAAAATGACAGAACATGTGTTGATTGGAAGCTGTTATTACTTCCTGTTACTGCAAAGTGGTGGACTGGAATACAAGGAGAACACAAATTGCCAAATTTGGCCAAGGTCACTTTGCCTTTCAGAAAGTTGAAATGAAAGTAAGATGAAAAATGCCCAGAGCTGGATGGATGGAACAAAACCTAGGACCTCCCTTTAAAAGTGGGTGTGTGCTGGGTGTGGTGGTGCCCACCTATAATCCCACATCTCGGGAGGGAGGCTGAAGTGGAGGATTACCTGTTCAAAGCCAGCCTCAGCAACTTAGTGAGGCCCTGAGCAACTTACTGAGACCCTGTCTCAAAATAAAACAAATAATAATTTAAAAAATGAGCTGGGGATGTGCCTCAGTGGTTAAGTGCCCCTGGGTTCAATCCCTGGTATCCCCCCCAGCCCCCGCAAAAAAAAAAAAAAAAAAAAGAAAGTTGTGTGTATGTGTGTTTACATTGTCAAATGCATTCTTAAAGACGTGGACTTTTAAGAAAGAAACCAAAATGCTATGGATTAGACCTTATTGTATCTTCCACTCCTCTCCCGCAAACTCAACATTTCTTCCTGTCCTCTACCCATGGAGCAAGACCCTAAGCAGACTTCTTGCACCCCCCCTCTCACTGCCTCCCCAACTGCCCTACTTTGGTGCCTTGTCACATACTTTTAGGTTTATTGGCTAGTGATTCATTCTGCATCTGTAAATTCCCCCCTCACCCTCCTTTTTCTACAATTTTCTGATTTCATTTACTCTTTCAGGTTAATTTAAAATCAATTTCTCAAATTCTGTTAAAAATCCTTGTCAATATAGTATTGGAATTACATTGCATAAACATGATAATTGAGAAGCAATTTGTCATCAGAATATTGTGATCCTATCTAGGAACTGTATATGTCTTTTTTTTTACACTCAAATCTTTCAAATCCTTTAAATGTTATAGTTTGCTTCATAAGAGTTTATGTGTTTGTTATAGGGTTCATGTGTATCCAAATCTATATTCACAGACATGCACACATACTCATGTATCTAATGTGTATCTAATGTGTGTGTGTGTGTGTTTACTATCTATATAATATACTAATATATTTAACATATTATTGTATACTAACATGTCCTGGTTATACCATATACTTTTTTTTCATTGCTGTTACATATTCTTTTATATCTTTAAATAAGTATATGGAATGGATCGTGCAAGTTCATTTTATATTCATCACTTTTTAAATCTTATCTTCATTTTTTGGACAGAAAAGTAGATCACCCTCTATGGCGACAAAAGTCTTCCCACCTACCCCTTCCTTGCCTGTTCTTGTTGAATGGACTGGGACATGCAGAACTGTGCTGAATGGCAGACAGGGAGCTCTCTCATGGAAATGCTTTTACTGTTCTATCACTAATTGAGATATTCGCTGTCACACTGTGGTAGAAAACTCTGGACACATTAGAGAATTTCTTTTTCTTGTTTTGGTTTACTGAAGAGCTGATTATTCTTTCCGTTTCACAAATTCATTCATGAACATGCCCAGATTTACTTCATGCTCCTCACCAGTGCTGGCCCTTGGCCTCCCTGAGGTCACTGCTTGGAGACACTTCAACACTCCTGTTGAGCGCTTCTCCGTATGAAGCTTTCCTTGACCTCTGGCCTGTGTTCTCTTTCTCATTCCTCTTGTCCCTGCTTTAGTTGCTGTTGGATAGATCTGACTTTGTATTAGACTCCAAAGCCTCAGAGCTGAGCTACTGAAGTGTTAATCACTGTGTTCCAAATGCCCAAGCCCCTGGCATGGATGCAGTAGGAACTTAGTTAAAATTGTCTTGATAAATAAGCAAATGAAAGAATTGTTGAAGTTTTTCTGTGGACCATACAAGAAGTAGGTGATTCTTCCAAACTGGATCATACTCTAGTATTCTTAGAATCATTGTCATTTCTTCCATTTTAATCTATTCTTTTGTGTTAGGACATGGTCTTCCAAAAGTAAGCCAGCTGTCAAAAAGGAAGAAAAAATTAACAAAATGTTCCGTTTAGTTTATTTTTTTTAATTGTGGCAGCAAAATACATTTTGTTATTGGTCATCAAAATTTAGGAGGAGTTGTTATTGAATTTTTAATTTTATTTTATAAGAAGGTTCACATAATGTTTTTTTCTTTGTAGGGGATAACCATCCGGCCACTGGTGGAGTTCCTTGATGTCAAGAGATCGAATAAGAAGCAGCAGGCTGTCAGTGAAGAGATCCACTGCCGGGTAGGTGCTGATGAAGTGTGACACTCACATGAACAAAGAAAGAAATATTCGAATCATTAAAACAACTTGACACCCCATTGCTCATTTGCAGAAGAAAGGAATGACCGCAGGTGCCAGGCTGGAGCAGGTCTGCGTGGGAGCATCATAGTAATCATAATCCCACGATGGCATCTCCAAGCCAGCTTGCTAAACTCCTGTATCAACAGAGGGCGCAAGAAAACTCCCTCTTTACTTCCTTCAGTCTAAAAATGTTTCTGCACACTTTTTACCATTTTGACAATTCTTGCCATTTTTCATATTTTTCAAACTTATGAACAAACTCTTATGATGGTCAAAATAATTGAGATAGTAATTGCTGAATATTGATATAACCAACATCTCCTCTAATTGGAAGTCAAATTGTTGGTTGTATTGCTTTCAGAAAAATAAACCGACAATAAGAAACCACAACTGTTAGGGTCATTGCAGTTGAGTCATGATTATAAATTAAAAATTGCTGACTTCAGGTAATAGCTAATCAATGAGCCTGCTTTTTCTGTTTTAGTTTTTTGATCATGTGAAGACTGGCATTGAAGACGTTTGTGGACATTGGGGTCACAACTTTTGGAGAGACAAGTAAGGTCATGAGTCATTGTGTTATGAAATGGCTCTGGGTCACTCTGGAAGCAGAATATTTTGACTTGTGTCAATTTTCAGGGTTGCAGATATTTATTATATTGTGCATGGTGTGTCCTTTCAGATAAAATTCAACTCTAACAGATGTGGAATAATAGGTAATAATAGCTTAAACAAAGAAGATGCTGATTTCTCTTATATCAGTTGCCAGAGGTGGGCTATTAATAGATGAGTTCCACTCCAGAGTTTCCTCAGGATCCTTTTGACCAGCTGAGACACCAAAAGTGGCCTCCATTTGCACATTTGCTTATTGGACAAGAATTGGTACTTTGGTATCAGCTATTCTAGACTGCATAAAGAAAGAAAGAGCACGTCTGCTATCTGACTCCTCAACAGAGCTATCAGAAGCTGTCACAATTTCTATTCTTTTTCTCAAATGGTTAGGACCCTGGTGTATGGCCATTCCTCTGTAAAGGAGGCTGAGTTTTGCAGGCGATTTGTTAATAATAGGAGTTACTGCTAGGTCTGATGGTGGACCCCTATAATAACAGTGACTGGAGAGGTTGAGGAAATAGGATCATGAATTTGAGGCCAGCCTTAGTAAGATCTTGTTGCAAAATAAAAAATGACATGATCTGGTGACATAGCTCAGTGGTAATGTGCCCCCTCAGTTTACTGTCCAAACAACAGGGTTTCTGTTTCCGCCATTCAGCCACACAGTGAGACTTTGTTGAATGCAGAGATTTAGAGCACCTAGGATGTAAATAAACTAGTAGAAATCACAAAGATTTAAATATTTTAAAGGCTTCAATTAGATGAAAGATTGCATATGTTTCTGTCTGTCACACACATACCCACATGCATGCATGCACACAGAGTTGACTTTTTTGTAAATGGTTCTGTGGTGGATTTATAGTCCTGTCTTCATAGTTCTTATAGTTGTAGTGGAAAGGTAGACTAGCCCGGCAGAATTAGACTGATGCAGTAGTTTAAATTGAAAAGCAGAGACATGGGGGTCACGAAGTACCGATGAGTCGTGACAGCAGAGCGGGGGAGAGTGGGGTCCAGGAGCCAGCCCAGGTGTGTGGCCTCCCCTCTGCACATATGGTGCCACCAGGATGGATGCTTCCAGCAGCCACGCCTGGAGAGCTCACCGCATGGATCTGACGATGTTATAAGTTGGCACCTTTCTTCATAGAGCAGTTTGTGGAGCATTTATGAGCATATCGCTGGCTAGATAAGACTTTTGAAGGAAGTATCATGGAATCTGGATCCTGAAGACAGAAGAAAAAGATTCTAAACTGTATTTGGAGGATCTCTCTTGCCTTTTCCTTCTGAATTTGCTAACAAAACTTTCTTTCCACTACTAACTTACATAAAGTTCGTCAACCTGCCCATGTACACAATTTAACATCAGAGAATTTTTGAGACTTTGTTTGCTCACCTGTGCTGGCAGGATATTGGCTGGGGCCTCTAAAAGTTTGCAACATAATAGAGACAATAAAACAGCCACTTAGTAAACAGGGGTGTGTGTGTGTGTGTGTGTGTGTGTGTGTATGGAGAGAGAGAGAGAGAGAGAGAGAGAGAGAGAGAGAGAAGAGTCAGAGACGTGATCATTAAGTAATACAATGAACTGTAAAGACTGCAGAACAACCTTTACAAGGTTTGCAGTTCTGTTTACTAATGTAGAAAAGTCCCCTGGGCTTTGCCTTAGTTCATAAATAAAAGATAGTTTATGTGTGAGGAGAGTGCCCCGTTAGCCACAGGGGAGCACAGGGTAATAAAATAAAGCAAACTACCATCTACATTGTAAAAACAGGCAGGAAAAAAGCCATTTCTCCCGGGAAACATTCACGACTTCAGAGGCCAGAGGTGAACCAGAAAACTTGCCCCATCTGCCCCACGTCTCTCTACCCGAGCCTGCTTCTCATCTGGGGGACCATCCTCACGTACATGGGTCCTTGCTTGGGCCCAGCCAGAGAACCTGACTTTCCTCTCTCCCTGCTCTATTGTTTTTGTAACCTTGCCTCTTTTCCACCAAGTGTCCCCCCTTCTACCCAACCATTCTTTTCCCTTTCTCTAGAATCCTATCAGTAATCTCCCGAGGAGGTGAGTGAGAGGTGTCACCCAGAACAGTTAGGATCTCACCAAAAGTGACGATTGGGCTCTCCGTTCCCACCACTCCTGCCTGCCTGAGGGGGAAGAAAGTAGACATGAGTAGGCATCAGGTCAGCAGCCCGCAGGGCACTGGAAAGATGGACACTGTGATGGTGAGGGTTTGGGCTGGAACTCAGGCAAAGGAATGCCAGAGGAAGTCCCTGTGTCCTGTTTTTGGGCAGAGACACTGTCTCTGGGTCCACAAGGTCATCCCAGGCAGACATCCCCAGGCAGCCAGGCTATGGACAGTGAGTGCCCAGGACAGCCCAGCCAACTGGCTCCTGTCTGGAAAGTAAAGTTTCTCCTTCTCTAACACTTTTCTCAGCAGTGAATAGACCTCATTTAATAATTTTGTAAGCATTTATAGATTTCCTTGCACAATTATTCCCAGGTAAATTTCAAATGATTTTCTGGATTGTCGTATATATACCTGTGCGTCTCAGGCAGGACAAAGAAGTAGGTGGGTACGGGAGAGGGGGTGCTAAAACAGGTTATTTTTAATACTGTGCTCAGAGTTCGTCTCTCAAAAAATATAGAATTATTTATTTGACTAAAAAGGACATACACAAATAAGTGATTGTTCCAGGCATGTTGGGTTTCTTTCTTTTTCCTCCAAAGACCTTATGCTTTGGATTTCTAGTGGTCCTGGCAGAGAGTTCGTGAGGTCTTTGATCCTTTGGGAATGAAATGGAAGGGTTACTCAGTGGACACATTACTAAGACTTAGCAAAAGGGCTCTCATGATGGTGAAAGAGAACACCTATGTATAACTTGGCAGATAAATGAAAGAAGCAGAAATGAAGAGAGAGAGAGAAAATACACAATCTCTGCACAGCATAGATCAAATGCCATTGTCCTCAATATTTGTCCTTCCTTTTGCTTATCTCCAGCGAAAAAGCTAAAACAATAATAACAATAAAAGAAGTTCAAGATGCGGTGCTGCTGTCAGGAATCCTGGCTCCATGGGCCTAGCATGAAATTCAAAATAAACTGGGAAACAGTGGACGCTCTCTTCAGTGTGGTGGCCAGTCAGTACCAAAGCCCATTCAGGATGGCTCCCCTTTCCCTATTGAGAGCCCTCCAGTATTTAGAAGAAAGGACCAGTGCCAAGAACGTGGGGTTAACATTTGTTCCTTTCATGGCACAGGTGTGCCTATAAACCTCCTTGGGTTTATGGTGATCACCGTAACACATGTATTTCTTTCTCAACGAACATTTATTGCACCCTGCTTTACTTACATGCTGGCCTAATAATGTTGCTCAACAAACCATGCCATAATACAACTACTCAAAACGGCCTTCACTTATTGTTACAGTGCATGAGTCACAAGACTGTGAGTCGGCTGGCCTGGGTTTGGGCTGTGCTGATCTGGGCTGGTCTTGCTCAGGCTGCAGGGGTTTGGCTGATGGTCAGCTGATCCTGGCTACCCTTGCCTGGTGTGACAGGGGTGGGTTGACTCTGGCTCACTCATGTGATCGCACCTTTGTGCCACTCTGCACACATGTTCCCGTGAGGCCTGTGGAAGCACAGGATGCAGGCTTCAGTGTGTAAGCCCCATCTGAAGGCTCCTCTTCCCTCCTCATGTGCTAACAGCCCATTCATCAAAAGGAATGATATTATTGAGTCCAGTACCTGGAAGCAGGCAGGGCATGTCACCTAGCCATGGCAGGATGACATTTCAGGTAAGATGGCAGAGAATGTGAACACAAGGAAACACTGGGACCAAATGACCTATTATACCTCATCAATAGTGTGCCAGACGCTATTCTAAGTACAGGTGATACAGGAGAAGACAAAAGTCCCCGTGTGTATAGATCTTATATTCTAGTGCCAAGAGATAGAAAATAAGATAAAGAAATTACTTATCTTGTTAGAAAGATAAGTAATAAATGCTCAGAGGTGCACACCCAGATTTTGGAAGGCCTCCTAGGCCATGGTGCTTTTATTCAAGTGAGAAGTCATACTGTTTGACTGACATTCCAACAGGAGCGTCCTGTCTTCTGTGTTGAGAATAGGCCCTAGGACCAGGAGGCGATCACACCGATTAGGTAAAATAATTCAGTATGAGCGTCCAGTGAAAGAGGACTTGGACCGTGGTACTGGCGTTAGAAGTGGTGAGAGGTTGTTGGATTCTCTAAGTATTTTGATGCAGATCAACAGAAATTATTGCCTGCGTGGATGTGGAATAATATTGCCCTGCACCTGCTACATGGTTAAGTGGCTCCAACAACAGAAATGAGTTTTCTTACTGTTCTGGGGTGGTGCCTTGTGAGGACAGGGTTGCTCCAGGAATCTCCTTGACTTGCAGATGAAGTTGTTCTCCCTGACTCTTCACCTTGTCTTCCCTCTGCATGCAACTATGTCCAAATGTCCTCTTCTTATAAGGACACCTGTCGTATTGGATTAGAGCCCACCCTAGTAACTTCACTTTAACTTAATTGTGTTTGGAAAGACCCTATCCCCAGATTCAATCACATTCAGATAAACTAGGAATTCAACATATGAATTTTTGGTTGGGCACAATTAAGCCCATACTATGGAATATCATAGAAGAATTAAAGATGACACCAGTTTTGGACCCAGTGGAGTTACTCTTATCCAAGATTGGGAGGATTGTGGGAGATGGGTTCAGTTTCAACATGTCAAGTATGAGGTGCCTGTTAGACCCTTAACCAGTGATGTCTGTCCCCAGATACCTGAAGAACTCATTCATACACCTCCTCCAAGTCTCTCCTCAATGGTGATTTTCTCTATAGAGCCTTCCTATCCATCTTTTTATAATTGAACACTTACTTAACCAGTAAACAGGGGAATGTTCACGTCTGGGTTTAGGGAAAGAGGTTGGAGCTGGAGAGATGAATTATGGAGTCTTGAATATAGAGGTGTTTTTGTGAAAAGGCATGAAACTGAGCAAGATGCCCAGGGGAAGTAGACCAAGGATGGACCCCTAGGGACATTCCTACCTTGAGAAGTCAGAAAGAAGGCAAGGAACCAACAGAAGAAGCCAAGAAGGAGGTAGGAGGCACCTGGGGTGTAGTATACTGGGAGCCAGATGGAAACCATGTGTTGAGCAGGTGAGGCCAGGAAGGATGAGACTGCCAGCTGGCCACTGGATTTCACTGTGGGGTTCACTGATGACTTCTGTGACAGCAGCTTCCATGGAGTGTTGGAGGCAAAAAGCCTGGCTTATGACTCCTCCATGATCACAGCAGAGGAAGTGGCAATAGCAAGTCTGGATAACACATTTGCTGAAAGAGGAAGCAGGAGAATGTTAAAGGGATAAATATGTATAGATATACATACACAAATATTTAATCTTTAGTGAGTAGTAGATATATGTCTGTATGTTCTGGTCATATACAAAACTATCCATGTACAAGTTTAGGTATTATGTAGATATTTGTGTGCATACATACACATGAGTATAGTACATGTGTTTTATACACACATATATACCAGCATACATCTATAAAAATAGACATTAAGATCAGATTAGCTAAATGCGGCTAATGATTTTTACCTGGGAGTTTTTTAATTTGTTTGTTTTGTCAGTCAGTGCAGTTTTCACTAATTGAAAATTTGACTTTCTTTATTTACAGGTTTAAGAAATTTGATGACAAATACCTTCGGAAGCTTTTGATTCGGGAAAACCAACCCAAGTCAAGCATTGTGTCCTTATATAAAAAGCTGGAAATAAAACATGCTATTGAGATGGCAGAGACTGGAATGATAAGTACTGTCCCCTCTTTTGCATCCCTAAAGTAAGTATGGTTTTTGTGAATAAAAGTTACTAGTACTGAATATGCTTTGATAGTTTTTTTGAAACCAATCATTATTTTTTAAAAACTGGCCTGCATTCCATTGGGATGCTGTAAGATCTCCTAGGAGATTCTGATTAAAATGTAAAAGCTAGAAATGTGTCATGTTTTAAGTTACATTAGGCTATATTTTATGCTATCCTACTTTAGAGTTGATGAGCCAGGAAATGCTGTCATGTTCAGGATGTTTATGCCTTTATTACATTTGCTTTGGGAAATTAAAGTCCCCTTAGCCCAAATTGTAAAGTGAAATTATTTTAATCTGTGCTATATTTGCTACTATAAATATGCGTGTACTAACATAGATATTTCATTATAGATTATTCAATCATAGTTGAAAGTTTGGGAAGAATAATAGTGGACATTTGGTGCAGTGGTTCTGAACACATTGGAGACATCTTGGGAGTCTTTAAATAATAAAGATGGCTGGGTCCCACTCCCAACCAATTATATCAGAATCTCTGGTGCTGAGCTCAGGTCTAGGTATATCTAAAAGTTCTCCAGATGTTTCTAATATTCAGGTGGGGTTGAGATCCACTAATCTAGTTTGTCTCCCTAATTTTAAAAACAAGGAAGTTCAGACCCAGCATGGAGAAGAGACTTTCCTTTCAATCATCACCAGCAGAACCATGAATACAGTCACACTTGGCAAATGAGGTTATTTCATCCTATCAACATCATTCCTTTTCTATCACAGAGGTGATAGAAATTATAGGTTCCCACTGATTTCTTCTGATGTAGATGAGCTTGAAACTCATTTGAACTAAATTTCATGTAATTAAGAGCTAACTATGAGGAAGTTGAAGTGAAAGAGGAAGAAGACCACATAATATCCAACCACAGAAATTATGATTTTTACCAGGTCTCTAAGCCTCCTTTAAAATTATGGGAGCTTACACCTGGCACAATGATGCACTCCTGTAATCCCAGCAACTTGGGAGGCTGAGACAGGAGGATCACAAGTTTAAGGCCAGCTTCAACAAATTAGCAAGACCTGTCTTGAAATCAAAATAGAAAGGGCTGGGGGTGTTGTGCAGTAGTATATTTAACCCCCATGAATGCAAAAAAACAAAAAATAAATTATGGGAGTTTACATGGTTCAGAATAAAAAGGAGTGAACATGAGGTCTCAGAAGTATGGTATTACATTTCATCAGAAACAACCCGGTGCCAAACAGTAGAATGCCTAACTTAGAGCTTCAGCTCTGTGAGTATTTTGCTTTGTGATCTTGAGCTGGTCTCTTGAGCTTGAGATTCTTCAAAAAAAAAAAAATAGAATTGGGTTTAGATTGGATCTTTAAGGACCCTTCTAGCTTTACATGTTTAGGTATTTTTATTTATTAATTTATTTTGTACTGAGGATTGAACTCAGGGGCACTTAACCACTGAGGCATATCCCCAGCCATTTTTTTTTTGTATTTTATTTAGAGACAGGGTCTCATTGAATTGCTTAGCATCTTGCTAGGTTGCTGAGACTGGCATTGAACTTGTTATCCTCCTGCCTTGGCCTCTGGAGCTGCTGGGATTACAGCAATGCTCCACTGTGCCTGGCTTTTATGATCTTTCTTAAACACTATTCCATTTACAGTTACAGCAAGGAACTCAGTAAAACAGCTTTATAAAAGAGCCATGATTTTTGTGATCTCAGATGAGGGGCATCTCAGTTTTCCTTTCTGAGAATAGTTCATTTTGAAATTGGTAATCAGTAGGGTAATGGTGAGGATTAAAATTAGAGAATAGGTAGAAAAATGTATGGCCTGCTGCATAATGGGACAGATAAATGGGTGCCATACTGACCCTTCTACTTCTCCCAAAATATTTTCTCTAAAGGAAAATAGACTCAATCAGGGAGGTAAAAAGAAATAGCATTTTTGGCAATCATGGATGGTGTATCGATGGATCAAATAATCATCTAAGAGCAACTAGAAAAAAGGACAAAATGTATTTTTAAAATTTGCTTGGAAGCTGGAGAGTACCACTGTGGTGAGCAATCTCTCAGTCAAGAGACCAAGAGAAATCCAAAAAGATGGAACTGGCATTTGGGGGCATTTTCATTCTGAGGTTATCTTTTAATTATAGGGAAGGTGTCTGAAAGTCTCAGAGGTAAATACAGGTTTGCAAGAGTAGTTGGCCTTAGAAAGTAAGATTGGAATTCAGGACCTAACAAGGAGGAGGAGTTCTTACCCCACTAAAGGGTGTTACTTCCAGAGTCCTTTACCCATCACCAGAAAAAGTCACAACTGTTATCAGAAAATTAACACAAAACTTTGTTTTGTGTGCCTTTACGTATAAAGATACCTTGTTTAATATCTATTGTTAATTCATTAATACTTAACTCATAGAAACTGGAGTATAACTCAGGTGTGAATAAATCTCATTTAAAGATTTTTTCCAAAGGTAATCATCACTGCCTTTTCGTGTTTAGGAACACTAGGTAGCACTTCATATGACAGTTTAATTAGTGAAATCACCATTAAGCAGCATACAAGTGTTTAATTAGTGAAATCACCATTAAGCAGCATACAAGTGTTACTTAGTGACAAAACGTAGCCAAACAGACTGTAATGGGAGCATTATTTACAATACAAGAAGAAGAAGTGAAGAAACAGAATGTTACCTTGTTCAACATCATCTGAAAATGTGTGGAGGGTCTCAAATTCTGCCTCTCTACAAAATATTGGTATTAAGTTTACAGGTAAACTTTAGTGAGTTAGGAGAATTCGCAAATATGGAATCCTCAAATAATGAGAATTGATTGTATTTACATACATACTATAAACAGCATGTTCACAAATATTTATAGTGAGCTATTTGAAATATGAAGCCTTAGAAAAATACAGTTTATTAGATTTCTGTTGGAAAAACCAATTCTGGTATTACTTTATAGAGTGATAGAAATCATAAAATGACAGCATTACAAACCATTATAGATTTTCTTTCTTAAAATATAATTGCATGAATAGACTGAAAACTTGCACACATTTGAACTTGTCATGAATGTTTTGGGCACTAAAAACTTTTAGAATTTTAGATTATTTTCAAAGTTGAATATTCCCAAGTGTTATTCTTTAAGATTCTTCTTTAGAAGCATGGTGTTATATCTCTAAGGAAGAAAATGAGTGATGCTGATATCTGTTGAAAGACGGAATATTCTTTTTCCAAATGTTCACAGTGATTTCCGTGAAGAAAAAATAAGGAAGCTCACGCCTGGTGAAATGGATGAAATTCGAGAAATATTATCCAGGAATCTGTATCAAATCCGTCAGAGAGTGAGATCATTTATTTATTTATCTACTTGTGTTTGGCTAAAAATGTCCCTTAATTTCTTACGTCTGCCTCAGTGGGTCCCAGGCTGGGCATCTCCTCTTATCTCAGATCCCCGTTCACTGCACCCCGATCTGGTCCGGGTCCCACCATCCTCTGGGACACGTAGCTAAAGCTTTCAGGCCTTCTGCTACTGGAGTCTTGGAGATAAGAAATACACACTGAACAGGTGTGGAGCAATGAGTTGATAGATTTTTTTTTTTAAGGAAACAGCGTTATCCCTTGGATTTCTAAATGTATTGGATCCTCCTTGTTACCCATGAGGTGCTCTTGTTCCCGTCCTTTGTTGTATCTCTCAAGTTGCTTCTCTCACTGAGTTTCCATTGCTGACACCCAGTTCCACTGGAGGGAGGGCTGATGATGTTGGTGATGTTTAGAGAGCGGGTACAATTTGCCAAGTCTCACTTCAGCACCTTGCTTTGGTCAATCCCTTTATTCCCATAACAATCGATAGGTGTTGCTAACATCTCTACTACACAGATGAAAAAATAAACCAAGGCACAGCGAGTCGAACCTGGGCCACACAGGCTTGCCAAGGGTCTTCCTCATTCCTCTGGGGGCCATGCCTGCAGCTCCTTAGTCAGGGCCTCCTTGAAGGCTGCCTTTGTTCTAGGTGCATCCGTGAAACCATCTTTTACGGCAGCATTATCCTGTTGAAAGTGACGCAAAACAGTAGTCGTGGCTTCTTGGGTACAATATTTTTTCAGAACTTAGGGTCTCTATTTTTAAGCTCTACCAGGCACCCCAGAGGGTGTGGAGTGACAGGTTCAGTCCTCCTCTTGGCCTGTGTGGTTCCCACCCTCTTGATCTTCCCATGTGGACATGTCCTGATTCCTGTCACCTGATTCATAGCCTCGAATCAAATTAAGTTTTTTCCCCCCGGAAAAAACACCATATTATTCCCAGTCCTGCCCTTCGATGAGATAGAACTAGGTGTCAGTGATTTGGGCACTTAATTTTATATATTTTTTTCTTTTTTTGCTACACTTAGATGCCCAACTAGTTTGTAAGCACCTCAATGCAGCAGACAAGATTAGTCTTACTCCATGTCACCTTTGCATGTCTCCACGGGGCCTGACATTGTTCTGGACACAGGGATATTCTCATGAAGTACATGTCAATTCTACCAGGAAATGAACTTCCTTAATAATTATGATTTACTTCAAGAAACATATTTCTGTGTAGCCTATGAAACTAAAAACAGATGACTTGGACATCCCTAGTTTAGAAATTTCACTCTTCCACAAACTGGAACATGACAATTCCTGGTGGTGTTAACAACTTCTCAATGTGACAACCTAGTTGAATAAAGGATCAGTTGTGAAGTTAATAGAAAGGACATGGCACCACCAAGTGGCTCAAGGTAGTTTGTTTTTATACCAGTAATTCCTGTCCAATAGAGAATGTGTGAAAATGATCTTTCTCCCCCCTAGCTTTGGTGGTGGCTGAGCTAATGCAAGGCAATCGAAGATAGACAGGGGCTCTTCGCAAATTCAGTCATTTTTCTAATTTTGAAAGATCACACTTTGCAATGAAAAGCTTTCTTCACTGACTTTTATGAAAGACTGAATTCTTCCAGGACTTTAATTTTGTTTTGTTCAGTCTGCATGGAAGTTGTTACTGAGGTGTAAATCCCCACCAGTGCAGTAACGTTTTGAAATTTTCATCCGTCTTTTGGTAAAGTGTCACTTGTGTGTTTTCATTTCAGACTTTGTCGTACAACAGACACAACTTGACAGCAGACACCAGCGAGAGACAAGCCAAAGAGATTCTGATCCGCCGCAGGCACAGTTTGCGGGAAAGCATCAGGAAAGACAACAGCTTGAATCGAGAGCGCAGGGTAATTGATATGGTGTCTCTGTGTGCAGAAGGCTTCCAGGGGTGGAGCCAATCAGCCCATGGAGTCGTTGACTCTTTTGATTGGATGACTGCTGAGGACTGACTCCCAGGAATTCAGGGGCAAAATTAATTATAAAAATATTTCTCCATGTGCAGTGGCATGCACCTGCGGTCCCAGCTACTCAGAAGGATGGGTTGAATCCACAGGGATTCAAGGCCAGTCTGAGCAACATATTGAGACCTTTCAAGAGAGAGAGAGAGAGAGAGAGAGAGAGAGAAAAGAAAGAGAAAATGACAATAATAAAGTCTCTTCCAATGTTTCTTGAACACCTATTACATGAAGACACTGTTACAGGCATAGGCACAGGGAATATATTAGTGAACAAAATTTACAAAGACTCTTATTCTTGTAAGATTTCTAGTACCCTAGCGGAGAACACCAGGAATAGAATCAAAGTAGATTATTTGTTATGCTCAAAGGTGATGATGGATAGATACATAGAGATAAGATGATACAGGGATTAGACAGTCAGTTTTCAATTTTAATCAGAATGGCTAAGCCAGGCTTCTGTGACTGGAAAATGGTATGATTTGAAGCCATAGAACAAAGGGCATTTTTTTCCTGAGACATTGGTGGTCCGGCAGTTTTGGTACAAGAACATCATAGAGTGTACTTACACAAACTAAGGTGGCTAAAATGTCACTAGGCAATATAATCTTAAGGATCAGTGTCACCGATGGGATCGACGCTTGACCAAAATGTTATTATGTGGAACATGACTGTATTTCTGGGGGCAGGTGGCCTAGATGCAAGGGGCAGAAGCTGGGCAAGCCCATGCGTTCACTGGGGAACTTCAGGAAGCCTGGAGAGGCTGGGGACATGAGCGGTCACAGCGCAGTCAGCAGCAGTCCAGTTGGTTCGGGTCCTTGCCAATAGATATGAAAGCCATTTTAAAATGTTCTGATCATTTATTAACATGACAGGCATTACGTCTTATTTTTAATAATAAATATTCAATATTGGGTCACCAGAGATTAAAATGATTATGTGTGAATAAGGAGATTTATCTTTTTTTTCCACAAAAAATGTAATGTCAATTAAAGGTTAATTACACAACCTGAAGGAAATCTGAAGACTGTAGCATTCAGAAGTTCAATAAATGAGATTTTGGGACATTTTTTTGTTCTATCATTTTCAAGATTTGTTAAAGTAAATAAAACTTAAATAATGCCACACATTTTATATACTTTCTTCCCCATACGGATAGGTTTTAAGTCTTTCTGGTAATATCTCATAAATAGGTGTTCCTGTAGATTTTCTTTAAGAAGAATAAGTGGTTTTCTCATCTTATGAGAAATGGTCCCATTAGTTCTATTTTATTAGCATGGTTTGGGAAGGAATCTGGTTACTTAAAAGTACAATACTTAGAGCTCCTCAAAAGTAACTTTGGAATGAAGAATTAAGATTTTATTTTAAAACCAAGTTTTGCGATAAAAGTTTCGACTTCTAGTATTACAATAAATACCACATATGTAATCTAAACAAGGTTTTCTATTTTTCTTACAGGCTTCCACTTCAACATCCAGATATTTATCCTTACCCAAAAATACAAAGCTTCCAGAAAAGCTACAAAAGAAAAAGAATATTTCTAATGCAGGTAATGAATATAACTGGAGCAGAAATACTTTAGATTCATTTACTAATGCTTATAAAATAGAGAAATTTTCCTGCTGCTTTTCTTCATTAAAGATGAGTTCCATCATTTTAAAGTATAAAATAATAACAGTGACCTTTTATTAGCCTTTTTGATTTGCATCAGTTATAAATATTTCAATAACTTATCTTCCATAATGATTCCTTGATATAGTAATATCAAATATTGTCACTATGGAGTTATTGAGCAGGTCAATAGAAAGCTGCAGGTCTGAAAATGTGTGTTTAGTTTTACAATAATTCTAATATATTTTCATAGAGGCAACTGCATATTTTACTTCTGACTGCAGTTGTTAAAGCTTTCTCACAAGGTCTGATATCTCTTTATTTGATGGTAATCTTTATGTAGACCCCCCAAAAGCTATTGTCTTTGAATCCCAAAAGTAGATTAGGATTCCGTGTTATTCAAGTGTGGGATGTAACAATAATTAAAAACCCTTTGCTCTTTTTTTTTTTTTCCTGCTTGTTTGTTTAATTAACCAAGTAGATTAGGATTCCGTGTTATTCAAGTGTGGGATGTAACAATAATTAAAAACCCTTTCTCTTTTTTTTTTTTTTCCTGCTTGTTTGTTTAATTAACCAAGAAGAGGAAAGTCTAAGGATTGCTGGTGATAATGGAGGGCGAGGTGAGAAATGAGAAGGGAGGGTAGGGGAAGACAAGGCCGCAGGACTGTGTGTGTCCATGGGCTGTGGTACCCCTGTGTCCTGCAAAGATGTTCTAGGATCCTAAGAATCAGCTTAGAGCCAGCAGCTCATCCTCTCAACCATCCTACCCACCAAACTCTAGCACAGGAATCTCCTCCTAATCCTGCCTCCTGGGATTAGTTGAGAAAGTGCATATCAATGATTGGGTCCTTCATGGAAATGGAAAGGAAACCAGCAAAACTGTGCCTGAGATCCTAGAAGGAGGGAAAGATCTTCATACCAGCAGGTGGCGATCAGACTGCTAACTGCCAGTGGGGGAATTGAGCCCAGAGGGGCCATCCCTAGGGTGCCTGGGAGCACATCATCACCACTGGCCAGAGGACCTTAGCTGGAATTCCAGCTCCAGTGCTTTCTGTTAACCCAGTTACTCCATTTGTAAACTGGGTGAGCATGGGGATTAACAGAGTGGTGCATATTAAAATGCTTATGGTGATGCCATGCCTGGCAGAATGAGCCTAGTGGACAGGAGTGCGCTCAGGTGACCCAGACAGGACCTTAAGCTTTCTGACGTCCCCCCTTCTCCCAGGGGCCCAGGGAGCATTAGTTGCCCAACCCACTGAGGTACCGAGGTCACTTGTGACACCCCCTACCCCTCTGAAATGCCGGCTCACGCTGTCCTTTTGCTCTGTGCCAGATGGCAACAGCAGCGACTCGGACGTGGACACCGGGACCACCGCGCTGAATTTGCAGCCCCGATCCAGGCGCTTCTTGCCGGAACAGTTCTCCAAGAAAGCCTGCCAGCCCTATAAGATGGAATGGAAGAACGAGGTGGACGGAGATTCTGGCCGAGGGCAGCCCGGCCCGTCGCCCGCACCCCGCAGCAAAGAGGGGGGCACCCAGACGCCGGGCGTCCTGCGCCAGCCCCTCCTCTCCAAGGACGGCTTCGGCCGGGGCAGGGAAGACAGTTTGACTGAAGACGTGCCACCCAGGCCTCCTCCCAGGCTGGTCCGCAGGGCCTCGGAACCTGGAAACCAGAAAGCCCGATTCGGGAGTGAAAAGCCCTGATGGAAATGGCCCAGGCGGAATCCCTTTCAAATCCTCCATCTGAATGCTGTCTTTGGATGGTAGAGTCAAGAGTGATTGATGGGAAGGATGTTTATCCCAAGGAGGGGGACATCAAAGAAAGTTCAGTCCCACAAAAATCTCTTCTGTGACTTGTGGCTTGCAAATTGTACTCGAGATGCAAGACTAGACTGAAGGAAAAAAAAAAAAAGTGTGCCTTTAAAAATCGAACTTGAACAACAGAACTTGGAAATTTTAACACACCCTTGTTGGTGGAAATTTTAATATATTACATGTATGCCTCAAATTTTATTTATGAAAAAAATATATATATATGTCCGTAGTGGGTCAGTTTTTAAGTGAACGGCACTAAAAGTTCCTAGAGCATCTTTCTGAGGGTTAGTGGTCAGTTTCTAAAGGGTGAATCCTAAGCTCAGGTAGAGGCCTCTCCCTGTGCTGAGAGCGAAGCTGTTGGACCTGTTGGTAAAGGAGGAGCAAAGCCCCAAACTGAGGCATCTCATGACTCATGAATTGGGAACACAATCAAGTGTGGTCTAGTCTCTACCCCACACTCTTGTGAAACAATCAGAGTTACTGTTCTTAATTGTTCATCTGTGTACCATGTGTTTGGGGGTGGCATATAAGTTCCAGGTACCCTTCTTTTTTGATATTTTTGATGGTGCAAAGAGAAATTCTGCCAGGGACAAAATCAGCCTGTTGTATTTGGTGGATTTGGTGGCAGCTGTTTAGAAGCCCCACCCTGGAAGCGCTCCTGTGGCCAATGGTAAGGAGATAGGGTAGCACCTGCTTATCTTTAGGTGGTGAGTTTTACATTGTGCAATACTGGGAGGAGGATGAAGATGATTCCTTTCACATCCATCTATGGCCACCTGCTTTAATAGAATTTTCCTATAGAACATTCTAGAATTTGGAGTCCAGGTCAAGGAGACAAAGATGAATGTTTATAAAAACAGTATTCTAATGTTTCATAGATTGGTAAGATTCCAGGCTTTGACTTTTGTTCAGGAAGCACTTTGGAGAATGTGGGCATCCTATTTTTTATTTTTCCTTTTTTGCACTAATCTATAATTTACCTCTTCACTTTCAGTAATGCAATGACTCAAATTCTTCATATACAATTGGATTCTACTCATTGGAGTAGTTTTTAGAAGTAGGGCAAAAGGAAGTGGAATGTGATCATTAAGGAATATTTAAATCTCTGTCTCTTAAACTGCAGATTTTATTGAATTGTCAGGTTTTTTTCCCCCTGAATAATCCCTCTTTAAAATTTACCTGTGACAAGACTCTACATTTCTGGGCTTAGATATTAAATGAAGCCATTCATATACTTTCTTGGTTTCAGATTAGAAACTTTCCACACCCAGCAAAGGGTACAAGTAGCCAAAGTATGACAGGGGGAGGAACATCACTAAATTAAACAGAAAGAGACAGTCCTCAGCAGCCCTTCTGCAGCCCCTCCTCCACCCCCATCAACATGGAGAAAACTTCTTTCCTTGTTTCTTATGTTCTAAAATCTGGGAATACTGCAGGGGGCTTACATGAGACAGGGAGGAGGGTACAGAAGGGTCAAGTTTGTAAGAGCACAAGTCTTTCCCAGCAAACCTAGGCTGGTCAGTGGAAAGCAATGGACAAGGCAATCGGAAAGCCACAAGCCTAGGACTCTGTGCCAAAAATCTGAATTTTAAATGAAAATATTAATATCAAATATACATTCCTTCTACTGAAAAGAAATTTGAAAGGATGCAGAATTTTTATTATAGAAATGTAATTCATCAAGAGATGTGATGTGAGAATGCCAAGGGTGAATTTTCAGAATACTTAATTTTTGAAATCTGCAAAAGAAGGTAGAAATTTAAAATGACCTTTAAAAATAAATGTCCTGGTTTCTATGTTCATGAACATTATACTTGAGTTTAATTTTCTGGAATGAAGGAGAAAACATGAAAAAAAGTAAAAGTCAAATAAAGAGTTTGAACGATATTGTATAGATTTCTGGAAAAGAGTACTGGAGTAATTTTATCTTAATTATTATCTGTTTAATTATTTTTATTCATTGAATGGGAAAGGCAATAAAAATAAATTTGACTTCAGCTTTTTCTCTAACTTTTTATTTTTAGGGTGGGTAGTTTTTGAATTTTAGCCTCTGAAAGGAGATAATATGGACATGAGCCCTTGTAAATACCACACCACTTAACTTCTAGAGTGTAGAAACAGCCCCAGTCCTTTGTAAATGACTCCCTTAGTTCAAACAATGCCTGATCCAAAGTTCCAACATGTCTGTAGCATTTGGATAGGTTTTCTCTGTGTGTTGTAACAAAATTTTTGAACTATCTATAGATAGTGAAAAGTCAGGGCTTAATGCTCTCTATATAAAGCTAAGGGGTGACTGTTGAGAATAGTTATGCCAGCCACGAAGCTAGAATCAGCACCAAAATCTGTAAAGTATGTGTCTTGTGTCTGTGGATGGATGAAATTTCAACTTTTGCTAATAGTGAGGGGTTGCCATCTTACCAAGACGTTGGGTGTTTGTGCACATAAAGAGGATAGAGAAACACAGTTACTGAGCAAATTTTGTACTGCCTGCCCACGAATCATGTTGATGTTAAAACTGGCTTTCATAATCAATGACGAGAACTAATATTTTGGGTAATTCTGAGCATGCATTGGAATTTATTCTTTAAAGAGTGTTTGAAAAGATGATTTTGTCCAAATGAAGTAGCTGCTCACATTATCAGGCTGGGGCTAGAACACTCTTCAATTGTGGGTTTCAGGGCACCCTGAGAATGCCAAAATCTGCCAATGTTCAAGTACCTTATAATTAATGGCAAAGTGTTTGTATACAAACCTGCACGCATTCTCCTGTATGCTTTAAGCCATCTCCAGCTTACTTACAGACCTCATACAATGTAAATACTGCACCAATTGTTGTTATACTGTATTGTTTTTAAGGTATAGTGACAAAATCTACTGGTTCAATACAGATTTTTTTTTTTTAATATTTTCTACCCAGAGTTGGTTGAATCTGTGGGATGTGGCACACGCAGGCAGACATGAAGTGGGCAGGCTTTGCTTTTCTCCCTGAAAGCTTAGGACCCAGAACCAGGCTGATGACCCCCATTTTCATTTTATGTTTTCTTCATTTTTAGAACAAAGTATGTGTATAGCTCATTGCTACTTTCTAACCCACTTTTCAACCAAGCCCTTTTTTCCATTTCTTTCCAAAGAAAGCAGGAATTCCATTTGGCTGTGTGGCAGTCACCATGACTCTTTGTTCCTGGTAAAGGACACTTTCTTTCAGAATTCCTGATGTCATCCACTTTACATCTAGCTGAGGCCCTCAAACCAGCTCAAGGAACATAACCTCGTTTTTGTTTTGGGGGGGTTTGTGTGTGTGTGTGTGTGTGTGTGTGTGTGTGTGTGTGTGTGTTTCTGTAATGTTACACAGGTGTATCTTTTTAAAAATCTTTTTTTTTCTTCTAATTTTCTGCCATTTTTCAATTAAAAATTTTTCTACCTACCTCTAAGCAGAGTTGATATACTTTGGTTCAGTTCTCTTACCTTTTCTTCTGAGTCTAGAGTTAACTACCCAGAAAGTGGATAATCACATTTTAAATCTGCATAGCACGTGGATCATTTTGAGCAGCTCAAAACCTACTTCAAGTCTGTGCAGGATGTTACAGAGGCTTCCTGGGAATCTGCATCCTCATACTGCAGAACGCTAGAAACACTGCTCCAGGAGATACCAGGCAGATGGAGTGAAAGAGACAGGAGCGGTGACTTTTCTTAATTTTTTAACTCAGGGACAAAATAAATATTCAAATTTTTTCTCCTTCATTGACTCCTGTTGAGTCATAAATATGACTGGTAACTAAATCTCTAATTTAAATGAGATTCTTTACATCCAATTATAGTTTAGCTCTGCTTGCCAAACCAAACTTTTGTATAAGTACACTGATAAAGGAAATCTTCCTCAGTTTCTGTGAAAATTTTTGCATAAGTTTAAATATAAAATTACATGTAAACATTTGATTAATCCATCATGGAGAAAATAATATATCATAAGAAATAGAGCAGTCCTATAAATTCCAATTTTTATATTGATGTGTCAAATCACTCTCATTCATAATAAACGGGGTCATGATGGGTGGAACTCATGGAAGTTAAGAATTTTAGAGTATTAAAAAACTTCAATTCTGTTAGTTCCAAATGCATATATCGGGCTGGGGATGTGGCTCAAGTGGTAGCGCACTCGCCTGTCATGCGTGCGGCCTCGGTTCAATCCTCAGCACCACATACAAACTAAGATGTTGTGTCCGCCGAACACTAAAAAATAAATATTAAAAAAATTCTCTCTCTCACTCTATCTCTTTTAAAAAAATGCATATATCTCAAGAAGCTAACAACAATCTGATTAGAGGAGTACACATTTAATAGACCCATTAATTTTCAACATGTAAATAGAACCTTGTAATTTAAAGATAACATATGCTCTGAGATATTGAACACTGCCTTCCCAAGACAACCCAAACCTAAAACAAAACAAACAAAAAAAAAAACCCCAAAAAACAAATCTAATGTCAATCATTGTCCTACAAATTGATTTTCATATTATGCAGAGGTATGTATCCACCAAAGTTAGATTTTCAGTAACACACAGACTTGGGCATCTGAATAATAAATGTGCTATATTTATATTGCCTCTTACATTACTGTTGGACATCTATAAGTTCTTACCTTTAGCTACCATGTTATTTTGAGCAGCAGTTGCCACTTGGTATACTGTCAAAATTTTATTAATTCCCAACAGATGGCATGGTGAAGGCACTTTGATGGTGACCCAGAGAAAACACGCTTGTCTCTGACATCTCAGACCAACATGGCCAGAAGATGCAGTCTGTGAGCCAGGCCTGTGCCTCAGCCGAATGGAACGAATTACTGAAGGAAAACATGTACCCAGTGACATGCATGCATACCCACAGGGACCAGGCCACAGAGCACATTGATGACACTGGGCTAAGGTACTTCATGTGCCTTCAATTTCATTAAATGAACTTGAGACAGGTTTGGGTAGTCCATCTATCACATCAAAAAGTTATTCTCAGTTTAGATAAGAGTTTGAGACTGAGCTACACAAAATGGAATATAGCAGCACTCTTTCCTTTTGAAGTATTACTTTGTATAGCATCAGTTACTCTTGGCCAACCTAGATCTAGAAATATTACGTGGAGAATTTTAGAAACAAACAACTCATAGTTTCAGATTTATATCATTCCGAATAGTGTTATTACATGGAAAATTCCAGAAATAAACAATAAGTTTTAAATGCATATCATTTTGAGTAGTGTGATGAAATTCTGCACTACCTCAGTTTATCTCATCTGGGATGTGAATCCACACCATACATGCTGCCCAACTGTGAGCAGTTGCCATCTTGGTTATCAGATATACTGCCACAGTACTGCAGTGTTTGTGTTCAAGTAACCCTTATTTTACTTACTTCTGGTGCCAAAGCCCAAGAGTAGCGAGACTAGCAATTTAGACACCAAAGGGAACCTGTAAAGTGCCTCCTTTAGGTAAAAGGGTGAAAGTATTCAACTTAGAAAACAAAAAAAGTCATAAACAGATTGCTAAGATCTACAGTAAGAACAAATCTTCTGTGAAATTGTGAAGAAGGAAGAAGAAATGCCTGCTACTTTTGCTGATGTAGCTCCATCATGGACACCAAGCATGATAAGTGCTTAGTTTAGATGGAATAATATTAAACTTACATATGTTTAGGAAAAAAAAAACAGGACATATAGTGTTTAGTACTAACCATGGTTTTAGGCATCTTCTTGGGTCTTGAGATCAATGTCAAGGCCTGAAGTGATTTTTTTATAAGCCTGAAGGAAGGGTATATCCTATCCATGTTGTAAATTGCAAACATTAATAAGTATTTTAACTATTTTTTCCCTCCAGAGTATGCTTTGCAAAAAAGAATTTTATTCCTCAAGATGTAATATACTGTTAATCAAGATTGACAAAAATATAATTCTTTGTTCAAACCAGACCCTTACAGTGCCCTTTTGTGCTCTGTAAGTTATTAGTACTAATTAGCATTCCTCCATAACAGCTGTAATTATCTTCGCCCCTCAAGGAAAAACACGAACTGTTTCAAAGTATTTCTTTTCAAAGAATAAGAACCATTTCTTACAATGTATTCAACAAGGAAAGCCAGTTTTATTTTAATTTTTTTTTCATAGAAAGCTATCTATAAAATGTGTGGTGAATTTAGAGATTTGGGTAAAAGCAGAGATCCAAAGTAAAAAATGTTTAAAAATACGCACTATGTATCTGCTTCATTAGAAACAAATGCTACCTCAAATTACTCTACTTAATAGCCATCAGTATAAATTTCAGAATACATATATTATTTCATATTACCATAGGGTTGTAAAAGCCTAAGTCTTATTACTGTTAAGCTGTGTTTTAGCATACTGGAGATTAGATTTTTCAAGCACTTTGGGACCCTGAATTTTAAATAAATATATAATCAGGATACAACAATGACTTCTAAAAATACAATTTATTATAATAGTATTTAATTACAATTTTAAAGGGATTTTATTGGCAAAATTATATAACTGGCATGCTCTTCAGGAAAAGAGAATTGGGCTTAACTGATTTTTCAACTTATTACCCTGTTTTAAGAAGAGTTACATCATCATAGATTTGGAGTCACTCATTTCAAAAACTTCTTAAAAGCATATTGAAGTTAGCTTGGAAGGAACTGGGTGTGAAGAATCGCCCTGATGAGGTTTTTACTGCTGTTTTCTGAATGAAGCTGCCCAAATTCCTGAAATATTCCCGAGCCTAGCCTGACTCTCACTCCTGGTAAGTTTCTAAATCTTTCATAAAAGAGTCCTCAGGAAAAGACGCCAGTCTTTTAAACATCTTCAGTGTTCCAGAGAACAAGTTCCTATAAATGCCCACGCATGTTCTCTGCAGGTTAATGGAGACTCAGCCACCAGCCTCTTTAACTCTGCCTAGAGCTCTGCCCAGACCAGACACTTGGGCGGCCTCGGAGCACCACCTGGAATGGCCCTGAGGGCCCTCCTGCCCAGGAATCTGGTTCCCACAGGCCAGGGCATGCAGCCAGGCCAGAGAAGCAGCGGTTTCAACCCCTTCTCTGGGCTCCAGGCATGACTCTTGCACACTTTCTTGTCTAGGCCACCCAAGGCAGCAAGAACACCCTGCTCCTTTTTTTTCTTTTCTAACCACAGCTTGAACCAGAGCTTGAACCCTGGTGTGCATAACCCCTGAGCCACATCCCCAGGCTTTTTTTGTGTGTGTGTGTGTGTGTATTTTATTTAGAGACAGGGTCTTGCTGAGTTGCTTAGGGCCTCACAAAGTTGCTAAGACTAGCTTTGAACTCGGGATCCTCCTGCCTCAGCCTCCCAAGATGCTGGGATTATAGCACCCGGCTTCCTGTCTCTCACTAGGCCATGTCTGCTGGAACTCCAAGCTCCAAGCCATCCTCCGCAGCATAATGTTGGAAAGGTCTCTGCTTCCTTCATAAACACCCAGGCAAGTTTAATATCTCTATGATTCCATAGAAAATTATAAGTTGAACCAAAGGAAAATATTTTTGACTTACAAAAAAAATTTCTTGTGACCCAAACTGATATTTTAGAGAGGATTATGGAAGTTACCCAAGGAAATTTAAACAACAACATGAATGTTAGTTGAACAGATTTAATATCCCTGAGATTCATATTCCGTAAACAATATAAAAAGTGTTCATTACACCACTGGTTTTCAAATTTTACTGTGCAAACAAATCAGCTAGGTATCTTGTCAAAATGGTCCCTGGGAGGTCTGTGCTGGGACCTCAGCATCTTCATGTCTAATAAACTCCCAGAGATGAGGAGGCAGCCAATTTCCGGACTACACTTTGAACAACAAGATGCTAGACTATGTAAGAGGAACTGGGAGGAAATGTTTTCTAGGGGGAAAAAAATGAGCTTAACAAAAACTCAAATCACCAGCAGAGAATAACAACATTTCTCTATTCTGTAGAGTAAGACCAATCTTTGGTTGTCAATATTTTCATGTATCTGATTAGTTATAAAGCCTCATTAAGTTTTAGGTTTTGGTTAACTTCAAAATAAAGTGCTATAATTTAAAAAATTAAAAAATAAATGGCTGTATTTAAGAGCTTTTAAGAAACTCACATTTCTGAGAATGAAGAAAAGCTAATCTTTTGGAGAAATCCTTGTGAATTACACTTCATTACATAAACCCTTATTATTATTTATTGTCCCATTAGTCTAATCTCCATGACATTTAGTATGCTCCTTAAGGGCAAGGACATTTCACATATATTTTGGTCTCAAAAGCACTTAGCTCTTGTGTTACCATTTTAACACCTAATGAAAAGTGATTTTTCTTGAAGCCAGGTAAGAGAAAGGACAATCTTCAAACTAAAACATATTTTCAATTGCTATAAATATTTAGGGTCACGCCATTCAAAATTTCTGAAACTATGGAAAATATTTTTCCAGTTTACAAACAATAAATATTCAAGTTATGAAAAATTAGTGTATTAACATATTGTTTATAATTACATGTGTTAGGTTCAAAATAGGAATAATATCCTAGTGGACTATTTAAAAGGATTAAAAGGAATGTGAACTTTGGCAGTATGAAGAAAAGTGGGGCCCCCCCAGTGATTTTCATTAGGAACCAATGTAACTACACTGGGTAGCCTGCCCACCGCGTGCCTTTCCTGCAAGTGTGCTCAGTTCTCGCTCAGGGTCCCTTTCCTGACCCCTTGAACGGTGCTAACTAATAGCAGTTTAGAGAGGGCCCAGGTAAAGACACACCAGAACACTTCCCTGTAGGTCAACAGGCTCTTCCTGGGAATAGAACTGAACTGAAATACAGGAAATGATTTTTAATACAAACCCCATGGAATCAAGTTCCTCCAATATAGCATGACACCTGGCCCTTACTCTGCATGAGACATTCATCTTAAATGCATTCAAGTACTTTGATTTCACCGCCTAGCAGCACCAGAATGACATAATGTGACTGGGACAAAGGCTTCTAGGAGCAGATTGTCATGGCTGAAGTCCAGGGGATTTAGTCCCAATGAAGACAGGGAGCAGGTTGCAGAACCTGTTCCTCCTATCATAGAGTACATTTGCTGTCAGGTGGGAACACATGTCAGAGTGTAACACCTGGTGATTACAGTTTTAACAGTCAAAACTTAATTAGCCATTGATAAAAACATCTGGGTCTCAGGCTTTTACTTTAATGAAAGACAGTATGTCTCAGTGTGATCCTTCATCTAACTGCACGAGACATCACAATGGCATTGAAGACTGCAGATCTCTCAGTCTCATCGAGCCATAGGGTCTGTCCAGGGGTAAGGTCAGCATCTGGGTTTTAATCAACTCTGGGGAAGTGAAAGGCTGGTTTTAATAAAGCAGCTTCTTCAACCTCTAGGATTTTGATAGCAGCAAAGCTCCCCCTTGGCGTATGGAATCTACCAGGAAGCCCGTGTTCCAGGTGGTCGGCATGTGACTGCAGGCTGTCCTGCACTGCTCAGCGAGGAGAAGATTGTGGTTTCCTCACTATCACTCACCATGTTCTGTTCTTCTACCATCATTTCCTTCTCTTGAGCTGGTAGTTTTTAGCTCAGGAGAAATTTAACCTCGTGGACCCAGATGAGAAGAGGTAAACACTGCATCTGGCCCCCAGGCAAAGGGTCCCTCCAATCTTAACTCTCCTGCCTTCCACTGTGACTTCTGTTTGACTCCGGCATGCTGCACAGCCCGGGGCCCATCTGGGAGCCCAACAGCAGAGCCACCCACCAGGAAATAAGGCTCACTCACACCAGCCCCCTCTCTGAAGAGCCCTTAATGATGGCCTTTGTTCCCGACTCACAGACGCCACTCTGCTTCTTCGTGTGGTCCAGATCCACCCTATTCACGTTTTAATTTACCACTTCCTCCACCTCCAGCACGAGATTTGTTTAGTGACATTATGAAAATAGCCACCAAGGCTAAAGCTGCCCCTAGAATAGGGGGACCACAAGGGCTGACCTCCTGGGCCACCCCCGAGAGGAGAGGGGCGATGATGCGGCCCACGGCTGTCACCGACTGCCCCATGCCAATGAGGGTGCCGCTGGCCTGGGCCCCGCCCATGGTCAGCTGGAGGTCGGTGATGCACGTCCTGCCGATGCTGGTGGAGAAGGACAGGAGCGTGGAGGAGAGGACCACCACGCCCATGGTGTGGGCGGTGGAGTAGAGCAGCAGCAGGGTGCAGGTGAGCGCGCTGGAGTGCAGCAGCACTGTGTGGGAGTTGTGCTTGTACAGCCGCAGGATGGGCCCCAGGGCGAAGCCGGCCAGCGGCCCCAGGGCGCTGCTGTAACTGATGAGGTAGCTCGTGGTCTTGGGCCGCACCCCAAAGCGCTCCTCCAGGGCCAAGACAAAGTTGCTATAGTACAGCATGACAGCCACCGCCATCAACAAGCGCACGAGGAATATGTCCCACATTTCGGAGAATATCAGGCTCCTCATGTCCCGCAAGGCCCATGTGACTTCTTCCCAGGGCCACCGAGCAGTCTCTTTACTCTCTGAGGCCCCAGGAGTGGGGGCTGCTTCCGGCACTTCATAGTTGGTCTCTCCCGGCAGCACAGGCTTCCTGCCCAGTCTCAGGCCATTCTTTGTACCACTGAGTTTTGCTTCACTCCAAGGAAACAGCCAAACGAGACCTGTTCAAAGGGCACATGACCTGTTAGCACAAACCCAAAGCACTGAGTTCCTACTCAGTGGCCTACTTCGCGGCCCACCCCTGGGCGAACAGCTTCAGAAACAAGACAATCCACACTGTCCAGTTCCCCTCCTCCCCAGCTGCACGTTGCCCCACTGCAGCTGTGGGAATCCCCACCCTCAGGGCATGCTGCTGAGCCAGGGGCTGTGTGGTTGAGAAGCAAAGTTCATAAATTTAATCTTAATCCTCCTAAGAATACTTACAAAACTACCACTTTTTTTCTCCTTGGGGGTATAAGCAATTATAGTGATAGGTTATGAATCTGCACTTTCACTGGCAGTTTGTCCACCATTCTCACAGCTCCCCTGTGATGAGGGGATTCTAGAAATAGGTTCCTCACCTTCCACAAACCCCACCAAAGCTATACCACGAAACATCCACTTTCCCCCAAGCTCAAATATTGCATCATTTAATATCTAGACTTACAAATTTAAATTTATATTTAAATTCTTAACTTTCTTAACTAAGGGTGGGAGGGGTGCAGAGGGGCATGGGGGCGAAAAGGTGGTGGAACCAGGTGGACATCATGATCCTAGGCACACGTGAGACTGCGTGTATGATGCGACGCCACATCCTGTATAACCAGAGAAATGAAAAGTTGTGCTGCAAGGTACAGTGAGTCAAAATGCATTCTGCCATCATGTATACCTAATTAAAATAAATAAACTAATTAAAAAAAACCTTTCTGAATCCCTGTCTATCATGTAGCCACATGCCCACGAATCTGTCGTCCATCCACTTCTCCATCCATCTGAACATGCAGTACTTACGGAATGCTTCCTAAGCGCTAAGCCCTGTGCTTGTTGATATATTAACATAGCTGGATGCGGAATATAAAATCCCTGTCCTCAAAGAACTGAAGCCTCCAAAACAGTTCACACAAGTAAACAGGCAATTAGATTGAAATGTGAAGGTCATGTTGCGGGGAGGCTCAGTCTGCTGTGTACAGCGACAAATCAATCTTGGCGTAGGTATAGGGAGACAGCTTGGCAGTATAGCCCAAGTCAGGGCCCCTGTGTGGTATCACAGGTCACACCTGCAAAATCTCAAGGGCTGCCATTCTCACAGAATACACTGCAGTTCTGACCACCATTAAGATAATCCTGGCCCTGCCATCAGGACTAGTGTGTTCAGATGCCAGCGTGTGAGTTCTTAACCAGAAGACATGGGGTACAGACACGAGAAAGGGTTTCTCGGGCAAAGTGGCAGATCTGAGCAAGGACGTGAGAAGCTGAGCAAAAGGGCCGAGCCAAACAACTAAAGTCACATGGGCAGGTGTGTCAGCCAGCTTTTCATTGTTGTGACTAAAATGCCAGATAATTTTTAGAGGAGAAAAAGATTATCTGGGGCTCATGGTTTCAGAGGTTTCAGTCCGTGATGGGACCACTCCATAGCTCTGGTGCTGAGGTGAGAAGAGGCAGAACATCATGGTACAATAGCTCGGCAGAGGAAGGCTGCTCAGCTCATGGGCACCCAGAAGCAAAAAGAGGTCAAAGTGCCAGGACAAGATATATCCCCCACAGGCACATCCCCAGTGACCTGCCACACTCTACCTATGGTTACCACCCAGTACGACATTCAAATTATTAATACATCATATAGATTAATCTACCTATTAGGGCACAGCCTTCATAATCTAATCATTTTGCCTCTAAATATTCCTGCATTAATACATGAACTTTTATTTATTTATTTTTTTTCAAGACACCTTATATACAAATCATAATAGCAGGAAAAGACTGCAAAACTAGAATGAGAAAACAGCAGTGAATCGTGTTTACTGCACTGGATGGGCAGAGCCCTCTGTGAGACTATCTGCTGTCTCGCCCAGTCCTTCTCCCACTCCTCTGCTGAACCCTTCATCAGCCCAGGTTAAATGTGGGACAAGTAAATCCCTATTGCTTTAAGCCATAGTGGTTGGGAACACCTGCAACTGAATGTATTCCTAACTGACCCATATCCATTCACAGGCTTTAAATAGGACAAAATATTAACACTATCAATGGAAAATCTAAACTAGAACTCCATAATCATTTTTTGTTTATATGCTGACTCTGGACTTTGAATAATATCACATTCACAAACTGGCCCCACTACTGATCATGTATGTATTTGAAGTCATTTTATCCAAATTTACCCAATCAGGCCTGTCCCCTGGCTGAGGTCATAGGTCAAGTTCCTGGCAGAAAACCATACATGATTCCTATGAGTACTAAGAGATTTAACTTCTGAACTTTACTTCCTGAATCTGATAGTCTAACCCAACATGGTTATCATTCAACATCATGCCCTGAGTGAGAAGATTCAGAAAGTTCCAGTAAAGTAGAATCTGAGTAAATACAATGGAAACTAAATAGCACAAATTATCTTGTTTACGTGGCTGTTTATCCAAGGATTGGCTGCAGCCCAGTCTTTTAGCAAAGATGGTGAAAGATGCTTTAGGCCACAAGCTCTGCAGCCAAGGACCACCCAGCCTGTGTCTCGCTTTGGATTTATTAAATGTTAGTGAACATCTGCCATACGTCTGGTCCATCCTGCGTGGGGTAGCAGCAGTAAGCAGATCTGACAAAATAGCTGGCCTTGTGCAGTGTGCTAGCCAGGGGTGTGTGTTTGGGGGAGGGCGGTGGTGGGAGGAGGGAGAACAAATACAACACAGCAGAACAATTTAACAAGAGAAGTGCTACAAAGAAAGCGCTATGAAGAAAACTGAGCTCTTTCAGGCAAAACCATTGGGAAGACCTAAGGCAGCAAATATTTGAGACCTGAGTAATGGTGGGAAGAGAAAGCCAGTGATATATGGGAAGAACATGGCAGGTAGGGCAAGGCACCAGCCTAGACTGCTCTCCCCTGAAAGCCAGCCTGGTGGGCGTGAGGAGGACAGGAACCAGTGGCCAGTGCTCAGAGGAGGTGCAGCCATGCAGGCTGCGTGAGGCAGCGCACTACCATGATGGACAGGAAGCCACAGTGGGGAAGGACTGAGGCAGGAATGGGGTACTCTTTCCTTTTAAAAAAAAATACCATAATCTTATTAAATTTTTAATAAATTAGTTTAAAAATGTTTTCACTTAAACCACAACTAAGAGAGTATGCATCACACAGAAGAATGAAGCTGAATGCTTACCTTACACTATACACAAAAATAAACTCAAAACAGATCCAAGAGCCACATAATCCTGAAATTATAAAACTCTCTGAGGAAAAAGAAGGAAAAAAGCTTCTTAAAATTAGCCTTAGTAAGATTTCTTGGAAATGACACAAAAAGCACAAGCAACAAAAGAATAAATAGAGAACTGTGACAATATCAAACCCAAAAGCTTCTGCACAGCAAAGGAAATAGACAGGAAAGTAAAAAGGCACAACCATGGCATGGACTTGAGGTTTGCAAATCCAATATCCAGCAGAGGAGCGATATCTAAAATGTGCAAAGTGCTCCCACAACTCAACAGCAAAAACAAACACCAAACCAAACAAACCAAACAAAAAACCTGCTGAAAAAATGGGCAAAAGCAAAAAACTTGTATAGATATTTCTTTATGAAGAATGGCCAACAGGTACATGAAATATGCTCAACATCACTAAAGATCAGGGAAGTGCAAAACCAAACCACAAAAAAAAGGTTACCTCATTTCTGTTAAGAGGGTTATTAAAAAAAAAAAAAAAAGAAAGAAAGAAAGAAAAAAAAAAGATAGCAAGGATTTGAAGAAAAGGGTCGTACATACTACTGGTGAGAATGTCAACTGGTGTAACCATCACAAACAATGATACGGAAATTCTTCAAAATGACTTTAAACAAGTCTGCCTATTCCAACCAAACACAAATTTTAGGAGATGAAAGTAGGTAGACACACAGAGTCTGTACACATGAGTGATCAGTATAATCTTGTGCTTAACCATCAACTTACCAGCATTGAGAAGGAAGACAGAAAAACAGATGAGGGCTGTGAGATAGAATCCACCGTCTAACTCCGTGAGATATCCCCCGACCATGGGGCCCAGGATGAAGCCCACGCCGGAGGCTGTATTGAACTGTCCCAGTACAAGTGGCCGTTCTTTCTCTGCAACCAGATCAGAAAGCAGAGCCCTGGAGATGGAGAGGGTGTGTTTAAAAATACCTGCAAGAGGACAAGAAACATGCTCTGTAACTTCTTCCAGACCCAAAGGATCTCCCTTGTGGTCCTGCACTTCATTTCTGTCCCAGATGGAGTCCTAACCTCTACTTTCTTTGAATCTATAAGATCTACAGGTCCCAGCCCACAGTAACTGTACTGCTGGGCTGGCGTCATGACCATGGTAGGCCACCATGTCTGGCAGCAAGCCCCTGAGCCCTCAGCTTCCCCGACTCCTGTCATGACATCCCAGCTTTTCTAGTTCTATGTTATCCATCTGCATATCCATATGGCAGCTTTCATGTAAAGCTATGGTTCTTTATTCATGTACTTACTGAATAAATATTACTGCAAGCCTACTATACGTCCAGCACTGATCCCGACCCTGAGGATAAAGCCATGGACCAAAGCCAGGAGAAAAAATATGAAAGCTATTCTTACAGTTCCAGAGCCTGGGTTTCCACTGGAGGGAACACAGAGTACACGTTGGAAGGTGTAAAAGGCCATGGGCAGGAGCAGAGCAGGGAAGAGGACAGGGCAGAAGCCGAAAAATGGTGCACGTTCATCCACCCGATTCCAGCTGATTTTCACTAGCTAGAGTCATGGATTTGTTGACCAAACTACCTGAGAGCCACGAGCTGATTCTGTACCTGCACAGTTCTGAGGATGTATTGGACTCTATGTCCTCAGACACCCCCATGTGCTGAACACACACACACTCATGGACATACAGTGGCTGTCAGTCTGTGGATCACACATGGCTACCAGCAGGTCAGCCCGAGTCGCTTCTAACTGTGAGGTGACATGGTGGCTTCTGATGAGCTCCCACAGGCAGCCTAATGGCTCTGGGCCCAGGTCGGCCTCAGAATTAGAGAGTGCATCTGCTGGACACTCAGTGTCTTCTGGAAACAAACCTATAAGTCCCTTTTAGAAATTGGGCAGGTTGAGTCTTTCTAGACTTGTTTTCTAAAATGTAAGGAAGGTCTGGGATGGAAGATGATTCCCAGGAGGTCTTATAGGAATTCTGTGATTTAAAAAAAAATTCTATCAATGTCAGATTCGCTTACACATAGGAGGGAAGAGGACTGCAGAACAACCCCAAGAAAGGTTCTCTAGTCTTTTACAGGCCGAGAGGGGAAAACCAGGTATCCATTTCAGGCACATTCAAAGTCAGTGACTCACTATTAGGATGCAAAGATCTAAATCCTCAACAGATGACATAGTAGTACCCTGGTGAAACTCTCCAGGGCTCCCTCCCCATTCATGACCACCAAACGGTATGGCAGTCACAAGGGCCCTGAAGAAGAAGTTTTTATGTATAGCTTCACTTGTTTGCAAATTATCATGATGTCCATATATAGAGCTATCAACAGTTAACCAGGTTCGTTTCATGTTAAAGAGAAAAACATTTTAATCTTCCTTATAAATCTCTACCCATTTTGTAATAAATCCCGGTTCTCCTCCAACTTCCTCCTCAGCTTCTTTAGCTATGAGCAGCTCGTGCCAGTGAGTGGGCAAAGGGAGCACGCTGTGAGAAGCCACACGGCCAGCACTTCAAGAACACAGCACACTCAGCGCCAGACGCACATGGACAAGCCATCAGTGGGAGTTTATGTGTGCTGGGAGGGGTTTGTTAGGATTGTTCACCATGTTTGAGCTGAAACCTCAAGCACTTTTTTACAGTAAATGAAAAAACTGTGAATTTTAGAGTGTGAACTCAATAGACTTTTAGACTAAAGATGTGTGTTCCAGAAATGGTGTGAAAATTCCAAGTGAGCTGATCATCAGCTAAATGTTTAATGCCTCATCTGATGCTCTACTCCTTTGGGGTGTTAATTTAGACCAAGCAGTTTGACTGAATATGGGCAGATGTCCAGTTGTCAAGGCCTGGGAACCAGAGTAGCAAAGACTGTCAGTGCTCTCACAGGTACAGGATGAGATAAACACTGAAACTCCAATCTCTGGATGCTCCAGGAGAGAATAAGGACTTCCATAGTAACTATCACCCACCAGACACCAGCTGAATTTATGGATGGTGTTTCTAAGAATAGACAAAATATTTCAACGAATGCACAAACTAAAAGCTATTTCAAAATGTTAGAAATAGTCAAGACCAGTCCAGAAACAAAAAGACAACCCATGAGCTGTTACATCACAATCATAGCCTTATTCCCCAACAACCTCCAGATTTCCAGGAGTCTGCAGGAAACAGACTGAGGTAAATTTCCTGACTCCATTTGAAGTCAGAAAACCCAGTTATAAAACTAGAAGCTCACTGAGAGAGGAAGTCATCAGAGCACTGGCCAAAGACATTTTGCACATTGTTACTGACTGTTGAGAAAACACCAGGAAGTGGGCAGGTCAGGTGTAGCAGCACAGTGGTTCACAGACTCTGAGGGGCTCTGGGATCTGTCACAAGATTGAAGCTAAGTACTCAATAATCAGCAGCTGCGATGATAGGGTTATTGTTATCATTGCTGTTATCAAGGCCCTTTCTTTAGGTGAGCTCTAATCAAAGGGACAGGCTTTAAGTACAGAGATTTATTTTGAATGAAGACACACTCATGGCCCAGCACTTACCCACAGGGACCCTAGCCAGGGCAAACAGGAAGACATTGGTGGCCATCCCAAGGAGGAGATAACCCAGGGCACTTAGCAGAATGCACACCAGCAAGGAGGACCGTCTTCCCACCACATCACTCCAGCAACCCTGAGGAAAGCAAGAAAAGATCCACAGTAACGATCACCACTGTGACAATGCCCAGGACAGTGTGACCCCCGAAATCAAGTCAGAGAACCTGGTCTGAGGGCCTCAGATGTTCAGGTCTGCTACGCTATTGGCCAGGTTAAGTTACTTCCTCTGGCCCTCCCACAAGGGTAGTGAAAAAGCATATATCTCTCTATCCTTGTGGATTTTATAGGATATATTTTTATATATCCACAAGGGATGGATATTGGGAATCCAACCCAGGGACTCTTTATCACTGAGCTAAAAAGTAAAGAAATATACTTTTCTTTATCTAAAAATTGAAACCTGATGATCTGGTAACTGAGAATTATCTGAAGAAAGGGTGAAACATCATTTACAAAGCCCCATTTTTAAATTTATTCTCATTACATTATGCAACTAAACTCCTCAGAGATAGTGTCCATGTCTAAAAATTTACAATATACTGAAAAACAAAATGAAGAACAGGAATCTACATGATCCCAAATCTATGTACGGTACATTTCTTTTAAGAAAATGGTCTGTAGAACTCTATTTTATAACTTACATTTTTATTATTTGGACATCATTGCATGTCATTAAAGATTTGCCATTGTTACCATCTGAAGGGGTGGATATTGGAAATTGAACCCAGGGGCTCTTTATCATTGAGCTATATCTCCAGCCCTTTTTATTTTTATTGTTCTAAATTTTGAGACAGGGTCTTATTAAGTTGTTTAGGGCCTCTTAAGTCTTTGAAGCTGTCCTTAAATTTGTGAACCTCCCCCCTCAGCCTTCCAAGTCACTGGGATTACATGTTCTCATTTTTAATCATATTCCACATCCCACTAGGTACCTATGTTTACTTAACTAATCTACTCTTTGTTAGACTTTTGGTTCTTTTCAATTTGTCAGCAAAATAAATAATGCTACAAGAGGCACCTCATAGCAAACATCCCTGAAAATGTCCTTAGAATAAAGTTCCAGCACTAGAATTGTTAGGTTAAAAGATAGGCATATTTTCAGGTATCTGACATACACGGACAAATCACTTCCTTGAGAGATCAATATCCCACATTGGTTTGCGTGTCTCTGTTCCCCACGTTCCAACATTGTATACTGTCAATGAAAAAAATTTGCAAATTTGTTAAGTGGCATCTTTTCCCTGTTATTTTACTTTTTTCCTCCAGGTGAGATGAATTGTGTATGGGTACTATCTGCATTTTCTCCTGAGAAGCTAGCACTGCAGTGTGTTTGCATCTCACATCCACCTCAGAGTCCTGACAGGTATGGGCTCCCCACTGTGCCATTCTTTATGTAAGGACACTTGCTGAGACCACAAGGAGGGCCAGGAGGAGGCTTGCCCAGTAGGGAACTAGAAGCTTGGTGGTAACCAGCTGGACCTCCCAGTGCCTCTGCGGGAGGAAAGCAGAGCCCATGGGGAACAGGAGCTGAGAGGCACACCAGGAGGTACTAAGCAAGCGGAGGCCAGCAGGAAAGAAACAGGCACAGAGAGGCTGCCTCAAGTCCTGCTGTCCCTGGGGTGGCTCATAGGTGGAAAGGGAGCAGCAAGGTAGTGGGCTCTAGGCCACCTTTCTAGCTCATCTTTACTTGAATAGTCTCTGTTCCTCAGCAACACACCCAGCTAAAAGAACAACCCTCACTTGAAAGCAGACAGCCCTGCGTATGAAGATGCAACTGGATGTTACCAGGTAAGGCTCTGAGAAGGCTCTTCAGAGGTGGCTGGTTGGCCTTTTGTTCTTTCCTCATTCCCTTCTCCCTGCTCAGACACTTTCCACCGTGAGGGAGGCTGAGCAGCCACTCAAGGATGCTAGGAGAGGATGATAGCAGGGGTCTGGGCCTTTGGTGGCAACTCAGACACCTGAAGTGGATGCTCAGATTGGGGCACTGAGCTTCACTTTTTGTCTTCACACCGTGGAAAGTGCTCTGCTACTAGCAGACAGACATAGCCTGACAAATAAAACCCCGTAAACCACGGCACTGACCCATTCTATACACCAAGGTTCAGGGTGAAGTTCTGTTTGAAGGAAAACTGCCTTAAAATAAAATTTGCCAGATACTGTGATAGCAATGGAGCATCATCTGAGACGGGTCAAGGACTGGATTGCTGGGCCTGTGAAGCTCCCCGGATGAGCCTTGCTTCTTGAGCAATACACGGGTCTTCATCAGTCCTGCCTAGGAGGTGAACGAGACTACATCACACCCGGCTGATAAACACAGGACCTCGGCTTGCTCTCTTGGCCAGAAGCCAGCCACAACTGCTGATTCCCTTTCCTCATTTTTTACTTATATGCTTATCTTTGAGGATTTAAAAGATCTCATTGCACAAGTACATAACCTGTCCTAAAATTTCTCTATGAAATATTCTGAGGGCAAATCCTCCAAATATGCCATCCTTTTACAAGTGCCATCAATCTTCTCCCCAACACACATTTCAATGGATTTTAGAAATTTTCCCCTCCCTTCTGATTGTGGATCACTGGCCTCCTGAATTCAGGAGAAATCTGAACTTTTGATTCAGGTTCTCTGGCCTCCTTGCAGCTAACATTGCACTGGTATAACCTGGTGATGGGCCACAGGACCAAGTTATCTGGGTTCGATTCTGAATTTTGGACATATTAATTACTTTCTCTAAGAATCAGTTTCTTCATTTATAAAAAAGGAATAAATTCTACCTCAGATAATTTTCCCCTCTCAACACTATGTGCTTAATATAAAATGATCACTAAAGACCAACAATGACCCTCCATGCTGGTTATTATGAACATTAAACAATGTTCTCAGAACAGGACTTGGTACATTTATATATAACCACATATACAATTATGTATACATAAAATTTAGTAAATGCTAGTCATAAAATATGTACTATAAAAGTATTGGTTAAAAAAGAAATTTTAATTAGGTGTTTCTCTGACAAATTTTTAAGAAAAGTTTTCATTAAATTCTAGCTATATGTGAAGAGTGCTTTGTAGCTATATGTGTAAGTGCTTTGTAAAACAATCAACTTGAATAAGTGGGCAGGGTCATAGTTAGCAGTAAAAATTCACATTCACAAAATGCTAACCATGTGTCAAGTCCTCCAATAAGTGCTAGTGACAAAAGTCAAACAATTACAACCAGTCTTTATCTCCAGGAGGCCAGAGTGCACCAGGGCAGAGGTGGGAGACATGCGTACCTTGGCCTCACTCTGGAATAGACACACATAACCAAAACTTTGGGAGGTGTTTACTTATTAAGATATAGCCCAAATTCCACTGTCACAAGAGTATGAAAGGTGACATTCTGACTGATAAGTAAGTGCCTGTCTAATTTCAGCCATCTATTTCTATATCACTAAGGCAATGGCAGGTGACATCAGGATATTAGGAGCCTCGAGTCTGGTGGATGATTCAAATTATTTAAACTCTAATGAGTCTTAATTTTCAATATAAAATGAAGATACCAACTACTTTGCTGGGTTGTTAAAAAGTTTAAATGAGAATAAAACTATGATTGTTACACAGTTAAATGAAGAAAAAATTTCCATCAAAAGCAAAGATCAATAAGGGAGTAGCTGTTATTTAAAATTTCATCATGGAATCTAACTGAATTTTTTTTAAAAAAAATACATATATATACATATATATGTATATAAATGTATGTATATTAAAAACTCAAGGAAACAACTACTGGGATACATAAATGCAGAATATCTTTTTCTTCTAAACATGTGAACATCAGGCCAGCTATTCAGACAGTCACTGATGATCAATCCATGAGACTAAACTGATCATTCTATGGATCACTGGACCATGAGGTCCCAAAATCAGAGTGGCCACAGTAGAATACACCAGGGAGAGAGAAGGGGAAGTCTCTGAATTTTAAATTTTAAATTATTGACTGGTCAAAAGCAGAGTGACGGGATTGCCTCTGGATCATTCCACACACGTGGGCAGATTAAAACCAACCAATCACTCCAAATGGCTTCTGTCGATTCACTTAAGACTCTTAGTTCAACTTAAACAGCCCCAAACAGAATCCTAGAAATCCAAACAGATTAAATGAAACAATAAAAATTGTCAATACTTTTGTTTACATTTTTTTTCAGTAAAAAGGTAGCAGGGACTTATAGAAAAAGCAGATTACAATCTCATCCCAGATCTATCCCTGACCCAGTGTGTCTCCCAGAACAAGCCACCTGAGCCCTTTAGTTCTGCGCCTTCTCACAGGCCAAATAAAAAGAACGCATAACGAAAGGATCCTACTTGATCTAACAACACCGCACATTGCAACCATCTGCAAACCTACTTTTGTAAACCTTAAGCACTCAATCTAAGATAGTTGACCCTCAGAAGCATTCGCTATGATCTTGAGATGAGCTGCCGGATGGAAGATAACTTACCACCAATGTGCTAGAAAAGAGTTGCAAAATGCCATAGGAGGAACCTACAAAACAAAAACCAAATAAGAACATAAGCAAAATTCCCTAGATCTGGCCCAGAAATAATTTAATGGAGTGACAATTTCAGAGAAATTAACAGAAAAGCATAAGGACTGTTTTTAGTAAAGGAGATTGCCCCATATAGTTTTCTTAGTTGGAAAAAGACAATGACATAAGGCTTTTAGGATAAAATTGAGAAAAGCAGAAGAGAGAATATAGACAGGGGCTGACTTCAAAAACCCTGAAAGACAGTACTTCTGTATGTGAGAACTGGGTGGCTCCGACACAAGAACTTGCATGGTGAGTACTCAAGGGAACAGAAATATGAATTCTAGAGAAATCCTACTGGGTCTTAAAATTTTAACAATGACTCACACATCTCTAACATTTTACAGTCTTACAAAGTGCTTTAATTTTATAAGGAACTTATAGAGGTTCTTTTTTTGTTTTGTTTTAAACTCCATTATCATGTTACTTGTTCCTTCTGTTTTTTCTAAAAATTTTCAGAAGTCTAGGTGATCCAATATAATTCAAAGTGTGTTTCTCAAAGAAAATACCAATCATGGTATGGATCAGGATTTTAATAAAGATTATTTACAAAATTCTCTCAAAACATTTGCTCTTCTAGCTTGTGAATGCTTAAGTGCTGTTGGTCTTAAGGATTTTTTTGTTCACCAGCATAGTCTTAAACCCTGCTAAGTTCTGCCTCTTTCATTAATCAATCACTTCTGGATAGAATTTTTACATTGCACAGGCAGAGAAACCCCATCTAAGAAGTACTGGTGGTACTGCAGAGAGGTTGCAACTGATTTACCAAGGCTTACCCAAGCCCATCCCCACAGATGTGACTTCTGTAGACTCTCTCTGATCTCTCAAATGAGATTATAGGCTCCTGTAGGCAAGAGTTCATTTCTATCCTTTAACAGAGACAGATCCCTAGACAGGCTATACCAGTATACTGGTTGCACCAGTGGTGGTATGGGATATAGGGTCAGCACTCCAACTTCAAAGTCATTCTACAAATGGGTACTCCAGGAAAAGATGAATTATGTTTGCTTCAGGATTATATTTTAAATATTCAGAAAATTCATTTTCTCTCATTTCTCATTTACCTTGTTTGGATTCTATCTGGCTGTAAGACTGAGAGATTTTCAGGTACTAAGTTCAGAGGATTTCAAATCCAGTGCTCTGTAAATGAGCACCTGTAACCACCCACCTACTATTCCAGCTACTGCAGGACTTGCTCCAAGGGACTTGACATGAAGGCTCAATAAAGGAACAACCATGCTGACACCAAATAAATCCTAAGAAAGCAAACACAGATTGAAGTCAGTACTGAAATCTACCAGTTTTTTAATCCTAAAATTATAAACAGATATTAAAAATAAATCCAACATCTAAACTTCTAACATTCAAGATATCAAAGTTTCCACAGTATGCCATATTAATCAGTTGAAGTTAGGAAGAAATCCTAATCAAACGTGTTATAACAGCTGTCAGGTGTAAAAGCCTGGGTTATCTTGACCTAGGATCGATTTTTAAGTTCACCTTGTTTGTAGTTGACCCTTAACACTCAAGGAGGATGTGTAACAGAATTTTCTCAAATAAAATAAAAACAACAAGCAAATGAAAAACCCACAATGTTCTATGGAAGATGAAGGAGAGGAAGGAAAGATGATTCGTATTTATTGGTGAAGCAGCACTTCATTAAAAATTAGAATGTACTTGTGCAGGTAGAAAAAGCAGCAAATATGCTAGAACCTGCAGTTTATCTTCATAAGGTAACACATGAAAAGAAATTCTAAGGATAGCAGGAAGGAGAGAGAAGCATAGTGGGAAGGGTGATGTTTTGCAGTCAAGTCACAAAAAGTGCATGGGTGGATGGGTGGGAAAGACAGCTTTCAATTCCAGCTTGGGCCCTTAATGAACCTGTGCCCTGGAAATGCCACTTACTGCTACCACACTCCAGTGCCATCTTCTGTGAAGAATGGATCTAATTCCTGCCTGGTAAAACCACCATGAGTATTAAGTGGCACAATGGCTGAGGAAGGTCTCACACAAAAGAGAGGTTCAAATCCATCTCCTTTCTTGAGTTCTGAGGATAAGTGTGTCCCTGCTGGGTATTTGGAGTTACTAGGAAGATTTAATTTTCCTTTAAGTTTTGCTCTCATTTCACTTAGTTACCTTCTACAACTGGCTTAGGGGAAGAATAACAATGTATACATCATACTTTTTAGAAAGCCTGAATTCCCTTTTCTACGCACCTGGTTAAATTGAAAGAATATACACACACATACAAAAATATTTTGTTTAGGCCCAGAGCTAATATTTGAGCTTCTGGTAGCTATGCATTCACATAATAAGTATGAATGTCCACATATACTTCAAAGGTTCTATTTCATGTTTCAAAGGTTCTATTTACATCTTTAGATAGCCATATACCAATTATCTAGTATTCTTAGCTCATAAATGTATACTTCCAAAACTATGGCTTATCAAGTCAATTTTATGATTACTTAAACTTTCTTTTAAAGGCTGCATCAATTTCTTTAGGCCTTTTCTATCAGTTCTGTCTCATCAGTCTTCTGATATTTCTATCTCTTTCTGTCATGCTGGATCAACCAGCTATTGAGCATTCTGGATATTTCAGAAAAAAATACTCAATTGCCCAATAAGATTTTTTTTTCCCCAGAAAGTGTCCCAGTATTGTGTCATTTAATATTCAAATGGTTAAAGATGGGAGAGAAATATTTATGTCACAGGCCAAGATCAATGGAAGGTAAATATGAAAATACAGATTCAGAAGCAATAGCTGATGCTTAGTATTATTTTAATACTATGCGAGTCTGAAAAAGTCTATCTTTTCCCAAGGAGCCCGGCTGCTGGCTCTTTCAGGAAGTCCTATTCTAAATCTGTCATCTCCTTTACTATAAAAGACAAGTTCTCTCTTCTTCTGAATCCATAGCTTCCCCAAACACCATCTTTGAAGGTACATTGCATTTGGCAACTGATCATATGCTTGTAATCGTTTATAAGAAAGTCAGGTTAGATGGGGTCACCTAAGCCTTTCACTGAACATGAATCTCTCTCAATGAAAACTGATGAATACATTAAAAAATTTGGCACCTTTTTCAAGGTAGGAACTCCTTCCTATTTCTTTGTTGGTGGACTACCACATCAAAAGTGAATTCCCACTTGCTAAAAGCTAATGAAACAGTAGATATCTCACCAGGGTTCTGGAGGAAAGACAGGATTAAAAACATATATCTTAATATCTTAGATTCCTAACCAACAAAGGCCTATCAGGTCATCTTAGTTTTCTTTCTAAAATAAATTAAAACATGAGAGTACAAATAAGAGCTAAAATAGAACATTCTGACATATATTTCTAATCTTGTTCCCTTTGTCTCCAAATCAGAAACCATTTTTTTTTCCAGGAGTCTTAGGCATTCTTACATATCTAAACATATCAAGAATAATAATTTGTACAGGATATTCCTTAATCTACCTAGCAAAGGAGCATTAGATCCTTCAAAGATAGACAAAGCTGCATATATTTTAATTGTTTATAACATTTTCCATCAAATAGAGAAAAAAATCTCTCTCTACTCTTGGTTTTCTGGAAATCTTGCATTTTCCCCTGAAGATATTAGGCATCTAATGATTTTTTTTTCCAAAACATCATTAAAATCACAAAACTTTACATCATGCTTTCTAGATTATATTCGCCATCACACACAATATGGAAACTATATGAGAGGCTGTGAATATAGCATGAACGATCTTTGAAATGATTTGTTGTATTGTAAAGCTCAAATAACTATTGTGAATTCTAGGTAATGTTAGTTTCCAAAACCTTTTGAAAACAAATCTGGATTCTGCAAGGGAGGGCTCAAATTTTCTTTCCATTTGGCAAAAGTGGTCCAGTTGGGCCATAGTTGCTGGAAGTCCACATCACTTTTCAGAGGGTGGATGGCTTCACTAGTTTTGAATTCTGGGCAACTAGACTGAAATTAGGAAAAACACGTGCATCTTAAGACTGAATCAAGGAAAAAGATGAAAGGAAGAAGGGAGCAGGGCAGAAGGAGTGCCAGGCTCTGATGTCAAAGGCACGGAGCCTGACAACATGACAGGCACAGGGTCTGCAATACTGATTGGAAGGCGAGAGATCTCCCTTGTATACAGTAAGTCAGACTTGGAAGGGGTTGGGGGGTTGGGGGGTGAGGAAGTGGATCAGGGCCACTGCAGTTATAGTGGTTGGGCACTACCAAGGAAAGCTTATGGGTAAGATTTTTAACTTCTTTGGTGGCAGGAACTCCATATTACAATATTGGAGTTCCATGGCACCTACCACATGGCACATGTTCAAAAACTCCATCATACTAAATTAATGGATTTACCCTGCCATACTCTAGGTTCTCCAAGTTTTCAAATCCACAGGGGAGATGACTATTTCTGGCCCCAACCTGCGAGCGGGTGCATGCGCGCACACACACATCATAATGAGAGGAAACCTGTGCTGTGCAATTCATAAACGTTTTGTCCAAAGGAAGAAGTGTAAGGTTCACGTGATTTGCATTTTCAAACAGCAAGTCAACGGGGAGTCCGAAAGAAAATGTGCCTAATGCAGTCCAGGTGGGATCATCAACAGACTTTCCCTACTCCTGGCCTACTGCAGCCGCTGCCCCAGCAGCAGCTGGCCTTTCCCCAGGTCGCTGTGGACTTGAACCTGCCGGAGTATTTAACCCCCAGGTCACCCCCGAGAGCGGCTAGATCAACAAGACACACCTGAGGCTAGTTCTGGGGCTCTTAAAACGGCAGAGGAGGTCAAGGGCGCCCAGGACCGGGTCCAACTGAAAGCAGGGAGGACAGATGCAGAGGGACGTGAGTGACGAGTGACAGGGACAACTGAGGTTTGAGAGGTAGGGAGGCAACTGAACAAGCAGATGGCAGGACCGCATCCCTGGCTGAGCTTTGCAAATCCCCGGAGCCTGAAGAGCACAGAGCCTCGCTGGAGTCCCCAGCCCCTGACCCAGCCTACCTGGCCCCCAGCCTACCTGGCCCCCAGCCTACCTGGCCCCCA